TCCTCTCCACCTATCCTCTCATCTATCCCTCTTCTATCCGCCTCCCAATCTCTCCTTATTTATTTCAGTACCCCCTTCCCCTCCCCCTTTTCTGATGAAGGGTCTAGGCCCAAAACGTCAGCCTTTTTGTTCCTATGATGCTGCTTGGCCTGCTGTGTTCATCCAGCTCTACACCTTGTTGTCTCGGATTCTCCAGCATCTGCAGTTCCTACTATCTCTGATGTGCTGAATGACCTGCTTCCACACTGTAGGGCAGGAAAGTGGAGTTGAGGCTGAGATGAGATCAGCCATGCTCATGTTGAATGGCAGAGCAGGCTCGACCGGCTGAATGGCCTATTCTGCTTCTAGTTCTTGTGTTGCTGTAATCATTGGAGCTTGCTCGGTTTTGGCATTGATGAACTACTCACTGGTGTGGTACTTCCCCTTCTGCTACTCGGAATGGCAATGGGCCAAGGAGCGCGCGTACGATTGCTGCTATCGCTGAGCTGCAGGTGGCGATGTGGAGATCGTTCCCCGTCGATCGGGGCCATTCTTGTCTCGGCTTTCACCCTCGTTGGTGGTAACTAAGGGCGGGCGGAAGGCGAGACCAATCAGGGAACGGGCGGGAGGTAATTGACGGGATGAATGTCCAATCTGGAAAAGGGTTGGTCCGCTGGTCCACGGGAGCGGTGATTGACAGATATGCCGACCAATAGGCTGCGACGGGGGCGGGATAGCTGCCAAAGTGAAACGAGCGCTGGCCAATAGGAAGAGGGAACCGTTCCGGCGCTGTGGCCAATTGGGGCAGGGCCTGGGGGCGGGGTTTAAAGTCTGGGACTCTTGCGGCTGCGTGGAGAGTGCGGATGGTGGGGGGATGGGGCTCTTGAGTATCCTGAAGAAAATGAAGCAGAAAGAGCGGGAGGTGCGGCTCCTGATGCTGTATCCTGACAATGGGGTGAACTGGGCAAAGGAGCGGGCTGGATCTGAGTGCCACCGTATGGACTGGGGGAGGGCGCCTGAGGGTAGGCCGCAGGCGGTGGCGGAGTGATAGGGGTCCAGGGGGTGGTGGGATGGGAGAGTGACAGAAGTCCAGGGGGTGTTAGGATGTAGGGTGGAAGGTGACAGGGGTCTGAAGAGCGATAGGGGCCCAGGGGTGGAAGGATTGTCGGGGGATGGGGAACGGGTAGGAGTGGAAGATTGCGAGGAGAGTGATAGGCGTCCAGGGGTGGAAGGATTTGAGGGGGAGAGTGACAGGGCTGCAGGGGTGGGGGTGGTCTGAGGGGGGGTGAAGAGTGATAGGGGTCTCGGGTGGAAGGGTCTGGAGGGGAGAATAGTAGGAGTCTAGGGTCTGAAGGAGGTGGGTAGAGGTGCAGAGTGATGGGGCAGGAGGGTTCTGTTGAAGAGTGGAACGGGACTGGGGTGAGTGAGTGTGGGCCAGTGATAGTGTTGGGAGGGATCTGGAGGAGCATGGCTGTGGCATGGGTGACGGGCAGCATCTAGGAACAAAGAGCTGGGCCTGGGCAGCTGGAGAGGAGGCAGGGTGTGGGCGATAGGAAGAACAGATAGTTTTGTTCAGGGGAAGACAGGGCGTGATCTGGGGAGGCAAAGGGTGGTAGGGAATGGGTGATGTCACGGGGAGAAACGGCAGGACCTGAAGAAGGGGAGATTGGGTGTGAATGAGGAGAATATGTAGCATCTGGTGGAGGGAAGTAGTACAATTGTGGTTTGAATCTTGGGCAGGGAAATAGGAGCACAGACTGGACTGATGTTTAGTGTGAATCGGTCATGACGAGTTGGGCCTAGCCTTGGCCCACAGATATGGTGAGCGGACAGAGGTCTGGGGCCCTGGCAGATAATTCTTGTTAGTCCAGTGGGGTGTGTTTAACAGGGTAAAATGGCGAGTGAGACGTTACAGCTCCAGTGTCCTAAGCCTGATTCCTTATTGACCGTCTCTGATGGCTTGGTTGGAAAATCCTACACCCTGTATCTCGGTCCCAGTGAGTTTCTTGTCTAGAACTCCGAATGTGCTGCAACTCCATGGGCCAAAGCTTTTTTACATCCATCTCTTCCCCTGTTCCTGAGTTGCTACCTGTCTGTGGGCCACCTGCCTCAGGAAGGATAGGTGGAGGAAGGAAAGGTCTTTGGGTTGGGACTTGTTGGGAGGTGATGCAGTGCAAATTCACCAGAATTTCACCCGGATTAAAGGGTTAAATGATGATGTGGGGAAGGTGGGAGAATGTCACGAAGTATTCCTCACCTGATCTCCCTGAAAAAAACTGGCAATGAGATTGAGATTGTTGTTCAGTATGGGGATTAAGGGTTATGGAACCAAGACAGATGGATACAATTAAAGAATTTTGGGATACAGACAGATTTAGGTGAGTGGGCACAAACTTGGTAGTTGGAATAAAATGTGGAAAAAAGAAAGTGAGGTTATGCATTTTTGCAGAAAGAATGGGGGAGCCTAATGTTACTTAAATGGAGAAAGACTGCAGAAAGCTTCAGAATAGAGGGTTATGGGAGCCCTCATCCATGAATCACAAAAAGCAAACATACAGGTTCAGCAGTTAATAAGGAAGGCAAATTGAGCGTTGCCCTTTATTTCAGAAGGAATGGAGTGTAAAAGTCAGGAGGTTTTGTGAAACTATACAAGGCACTAGCCAGACTACAGCTGGAATACCGAACAGTCTTGGTTCCATATCTAAGAAAAGATATACTGGTATTGGAAGCAGTCCAGAGAATGTTCACAAGGCCGATATCTGAATGGAGGGGTTGTATTAAGAGGGGAGGTTGAGTAGGTTGGACCTGTACTTATTGAAGTTTGGACGAACGACAGGGGAGCATAATGAAACACAAGATTTTTAGGGGGCTTGAGAGGGTAGATGTTGAGAGGTTGTTTCCCCTTGCGGAAGAGTCTCGGATTAGAGGGCATCATCTCAGAGGTTGCCCATTTAAGATAAAGATGGGGAGAAATTTCTTCTCCTTGACGGTAGTGAATCTGGAATTCGCTACTGCAGGGGGCTGTTCAGTTTGGGTCTTAGATATATTCAAGTCCGAGATAGACTTTTAATCACAAAGGGAATCGAGGATTATGGTGAAAAGGCTGGGAAGTGAAGTTGAGGATTATCAGAAATTGTTGGAAAAGCTCAGCAGCTCTGGCAGCATCCGTGGAGAGAAATCCGAGTTAATGTTTCGGGTTGAGTGACCTTTCCTCAGAACTGAGGAACCTCTTGTTCTGAGGAAGGCTCGCTAAACCCGAAACGTTAACTCTGATTTCTCTCCATGGATGCTGCCAGACCTGCTGAGCTTTTCCAGCAATTTCTGTTTCTGTCTTTGATTTACAGCATCCGCAGTTCTTTTGGGTTTTATTGTGGATTATCAGATCAGCCACGAACTCATTGGACGATGGAGTGGATTTGATGGGCCGCAAGGCCTAAGTCTGCTCCGAGGTCTGAAGGTCTTCTGAATTAAATGAATGGCAGAGCAGTCTGGAGGGGCTGAATGGCCTCCTGTTGCAATTTTGTAACCATTAATTCATCCAGTGCTTTCAGGTAACGCGTTTACTGTCTGAGCAGGGCTTGTTTGGAATCAAAGTCCTTGTGCTCGATGCTGTCAGTGGGTCTTGAAACCTAGAAAGCTTTGATTTCCTCCTTCTCCAGCTCCCCCACCCCACACCCACCAGTAGGAAAAGACAGACACCATTGTGTTACCGTCCCTGCTCTTCCTTAACTCATGGCCAGTGGGCTGGACAACGCCGGCAAGACCACCATCCTTAAGAAGTTCAACGGAGAGGATATTGATACCATCTCGCCCACACTGGGATTCAACATTAAGACCTTGGAGCACAGAAAGTAAGAGAGACTTACTGAGTTGCCGTTTCTCTGTCTGATCCGACTGAGTTTTGGGAAATGAGGTTAGGAGGATCCCTCAGTAATAACTCACAGCGGGAGCTGCACAGGGAGAAATCAGGTGAGGGTGCTGCCTTCACAGATCGTCACGTTCCCTCCTCCGCAGCACAGAACACTCACATTTGGGAGAGGGAAAACGGGGCCCTCCATCAGGTCAGGCGCTCTGAGGAGGAATGCTTGTCCTGCTGTCCTGTCCCTTTTCCAATACAGTGACAGCACACTGAATTTTGCTGAAGCAAAGAGACACGCTTCCAAAGCTTTTGTCTTGCACTTGACAGATGCAAGAATGAGAGATTTTAGAGGAGGCAGTAATTTGGACTGCATGAGAGGAGTGATTGGGAAGTTAACTCTCTGCCAAGGAGAATGCAGCAGGAAAATTCACAGACACAGCCCGGGCCTTTGGTTAATGTTCAGAATATGAACATGTATGTCTCCAGCAGGTATATGTGAGCCACGTCACGAGACGGAGGATCATCTTAAATTGTTTGCGAGTGTCACTCGGGCTTCCGTGGCAAGTGCTGTCCGATCTGGGAACCACAAACACGTTGATCTGCGCAGACTGAGCTGCGAGAGAGTCCATCAGAGCACACTGGCAACTCCAGACCGGGCTGTCAGTGGGGAAGCTGGTGAGGGAGGACCAAGGTGCAGTAATTGTTCCGGTAGCCCTCTGTCAGTTTGTACTTGACCACGTGGCCACTTCTAGCCCAGGAGCAGCTTGTTCGGAACGGGGTGGTGGGCTGGTATCCAGGCTTTGTGGCTTTTGTGACAATATGCCTTTCCCCTCACAGTTTCAAACTCAATATCTGGGACGTGGGAGGTCAGAAATCACTGCGATCGTACTGGAGGAACTACTTTGAGAGCACGGATGGTCTAATCTGGGTGGTGGACAGTGCCGATCGGTTGCGACTGGATGACTGCAGAAGGGAGCTCTCCGTCCTACTGCAGGAAGAGGTACAAACCCAGAAATCTTGGTGGGTGGTAAGGAGGGGTACAGGTTGGGAACGCAAAAAATTACCTGGAGCTCAGGCTACCGTATCCCCAGAAAGCCCTGAAAGGCAGGGCTGTTGTTTGCACAGCTCACTGGTCACCAATCAGGGCTATACCTGGGAATCTCTCCAGCCTAAATCGCACAGCAATCATTCCCGAAACCAAGTCAACATTCCTCCGTCAAATACCGTCGGAGGGTTGGCGCTGAGGGCGCGCCGCGCTGTCGGAGGGTCGGCGCTGAGGGAGCGCTGTGCTTGTCATATCACCACATCTTATGATTGGTCAACATGAAAAGGGAATGGCTAACTGCTGGCTTTGAGTTCTAGTGTGTCAAGTACAGTCAGAGGAATGTTTCATAATCAGAAGGAATGGGAGTGTATACAGCTATGTGAATGATCAGATGACACCCCTGCCCACATGTGCGTGTGCAGACATATGCACAGATACAGACACACACGCAGACACAGAGTTGATGTTGATTTAGCCAGATGTCTCTGGGAAAGCAGTAAGTTATGCTGGAGTTGTCCTGTCTCTTTAGACCTGCATTTGTGATGAGGAGCTTGGGGTTTGGGGGCTAGCCTATGGGTGATGGGGGTGATAGATTTTCGCTGGCGTTCCTGCTGCTGAGTGCTCTGTGTGAATGTGGCCCTGACCATGAAGCCATTTCACAGCTTCATACCGAGAGAAAAAGAAAAGAATGACAGCTTGGCTCGGACTGTAAGGAGAACTGCTGGCTCCTGTGGAAGTTATCTGACCCTCCAGACCCCCTTCCCTTTGAGGGTTTAATGTTATAAGGGTAAATTATTGTTTAAAGTCTCACTGTGATCGGTTTCTTCCTTCACACAGCGTCTGGCTGGAGCTACTCTCTTGGTGTTCGCCAACAAGCAGGATCTACCTGGAGCACTGACCTCAGATGCCATTAAAGATGTAAGAGCTGATTTAGACACTGTTGTGGTGCTTCTGGCTGGCGGGTACCGTTGGTTGAATGCAGCCACTAGCTTCTGGGCAGAAAAAGCCACCCTTCTTTCTATTGATCTGCCTGCAGGCTCATTATCCCCAGATCTATTTTCATCCTGTGTTCAGTGAGACAAGCCCTTTCAACCCTTAATTGATCTTCTCTTCCCTTTATCATTTCATCTTCCTCCAAAGGCCTTCAAAACCCAACACTTTCTGAGTACACTTTTTTTGAAAATATAGCACGCCCTCACTCCGATGACTCTTCGGGTCATTCAAAGCACAAGTCAGGAGTGTGATGGAATACCCCCCACATGCCCCTGGGTGAGTGCAGCTCCAACAACACTCAAGAAGCTTAACACCAGCCAGGGACAATGTAGTCTGCTTGATTGGCATCCAATCCACCACTACACCGGCATTCACTCCCTTCAGAACCGATACAAAGTACAAGATGATCTGCATCAACTCACCAAGGCAACCCAGACAGCACCTTTGAAAATTGCAGTCTCTTAGCACCCAGGACAAGGGCAGCAGATGCATGAGAACATCACTTCCTGCAAGTTCCCCTCCGAGCCACTCACTATCCTGACTTAGAAATATATCAGCCATTCCTTCAGTGTCTCTGGGTCAAAATCCAAGGGCTCCCTCCGTAATGGCACTGTCGGGGTAGCTATAGCACACGTTTGTAGCAGTTCAAGAAGGTGGCTCACCACTGCCTTCTCAAGGGGCAATTAGAGATGGTCAGTGAACACTGGCTTAGCCAGTAGCGGCCACATTGCATTAATGAATAGAAAATACTTTTCAGGGGCAAAGTTCCATTGGTTTGTAGCATCATCAATCGACGCAGCTCTACGTGAAAGCATCCCCTGAATAGGACACCTTGACATCAAGGCCATGTTTGATCAAGTGTGGCATCAATGAGCCCTAGCAAAACTAAAATCAATGGGAGTTGGAGGGGGGGAAGCTCTCTGTTAGTTGGAGTTAAACTTGGCACAAAGGAAGATGGTTCTGGTTGTTGGAGGTCAGGCATCTTAACTCTTGGACAGCACTGAAGGAGTTAAGACGAGACAGTGTAGGAGCAGAACTAGGCCATTCAGCCCATTCAGTCTGCTCTACAATTTGATTTTCTCAGGGTAGTGGCCTAGGCCCAACCATTTTCAGATGCTTCATCGATGACCTTCCCTCCACTGTAAGGTCAGAAGTGGGGTTCACTGTACATTGTTCAGCAACATTCGTGACTCCTCAAATACTGAAACAGTCCATGTTTAAATGCCACAAGACCTGGACAATATCAGGCTTGGGCTGAAAAGTGGCAATTTACATTTGTGTCACACAATGCCAGGCAATGACCATCTCGAACAAGAGACAATCTAACCACTGCCCCTTGATATTCCATGGCGTTAACCATCACAGAATCCCCCCACTATCAACGTCCTGGGGTTTACCATTGAGCAGAAACTCAACTGGACTTGCTACATAAACACTACGGATACAAGAGCAAGGCAGAGGCTGGGAATACTGCAGCGAGTAACTCACCTCCTGACTCCTCAAAGCCTGTCCACCATCTACAAGGCACAAGTCAGGAGTGTGAGGGAATACTCCCCACTTGCCCCGGATGGGTGCAGCTCCAGCAACACTCAAGAAGCTCCGCACCATCCAGGACAAAGCCCCCGTTTTGATTGGCACCACATCCACAAACATCCACTCTGTCCACCATTGACACCCAGTAGCAGCAGTGTGTACCACCTACAAGATGCACTGCAGAAATTTGCTAAAGACCTTAGTACCTTCCAAACCCACGACCACTTCATCTGGAAGGATATGGACTGACTTGGAAATATATCAGCCGTTCCTTCACTGTTACTGGATCAAAATCCTGGAATTGCCTCCCTAACAGCATTGTTTACCTATAGCATGTGTACTGCAGCGGTTCAAGAAGGCAGCTCACCACCACCTTCTCAAAGGCGACTAGGGACAAGCAGTAAATGCTGGCCCAGCCAGCAATGCCTGAGTCCCCACAAAGAGAACTGGAAGGGCAGGAGGCTATTCATCCTGTTATGATGGTGTGCCTCCATTCACCGTGGTTGACCTGTGACCTAACTCCGTGTTCCCCTTCTTTGACTCGTCTCCCTTGACTTGTTTGTCATTGTGATCGAAAATGACCAATTAATCGTGCATTATTTGTGGTTTGTGGAAAGAGTTCCAAACCTCTCCCACTCATGTCGAAGCATCTCCTCATCTCCTTCCTGAAAGGTCTGCCTCATTTTTAGTCCTTGCCTGGAGTCCCCTCATCTCACCAATCAGCAGAAATAGTTTCTCCTTCCCCTTTAAACCAAATCGCTCCTTAACCTAAATTCCAGGGAATGCATCCCTGATTGGTGTAATCTCTCCTCCTAGTTTAATTCTTGCCATCCTCGTTATCATTCTAGTGAATTCACACCACACTCCCTCCAAGGCCCAGTGTCTCTGTGCTGAAGCATGGTACCCAGAACCCACTCGTGTTGACTAGCCAGGGGCTCTGCGTCTCTGAAGCTAGACATCCACTCCCTTGTATTTAGCCCTCTTGATATTGAGGCCAGCATTCCATTAGCCTTCCCATCTATTTTCTGTATGTGTTCCGGTCATTTTAAAGATCCATTTACTTGGAGCCTCTTTGGTCCACTGCTCCTTCTAGCCTTTCCCCATTTACAAAGACCACGCTTCCACCTCTTTTAGCTGCAAAGCGAATGATGTCTCATGTTTCCCCATAGATTTCCATTTGCCTCTGTTTCGTCTGTTCTCAGTGCTTCTTTATTATTTGCACTGCGCACAATGCTGCCTTTCTGCATCATTGACAAATGTAGATATGTATTTCTCCATCCCATCACCTTGAGTTGGCAGTGAAGAGTTGAGGCTCTGACATAGATCCTCATGAGATTCAACTTAGAGTCTCTGCTCATTTTCCCCACACGCTCTCTCTCTTGTCTCCTGTCACTCAGTTTCCAAACAAAGCTTTGCTTCCATGAACAGGAGGGAGAGAGAATCTGAAGTGCTCATCCAGCCCCTACAACCCTCCGAGATCGTCGTGCTCCTCTAATTCTGGCCTGTTGAGTGGCCCTCGATTCCCATCACATCTCCATTTTAGCAGTTGTGCAGCCCGGGGCCTTAAGCTCTGGAATTCCCTCCCTAAACCTCTTCCCCCTCTCCTCCTCCAAGATGCTTTAATCCAACTTCTTTGACCAAGTTTTTAGCCTCCTGTCGAAGTGTACCGTGGTGTGGCTTGGTGTGTGTGGTTTGGGACGTCTCACTATGCGAGTGGCACTTCTATGATTGAAAATTGTTGTTGATAGATTTTTATTTTACACCTCCTAACCTCCTTCTCCACCTCCACTTGGTTTCACAGGCCTTGGACCTTGACAGTATTAAGACCCACCACTGGTGTATTCGAGACTGCAGCGCAGTGACCGGGGAGAACTTGCTGGTTGGAATCGACTGGTTGATGGACGACATATCCTGCCGAATATTTACTGCAGACTGATACCACCACCAACACCCCCCCCACAGGCCCGCCTCTCCTCCCCCTGTCACTACAGCAGCAGCCCCACCTATCACAATGTAACTGTCACACGGGCTATCTGATCCCCACTCTGTTTGGTTTGTATTTTTGAGAGGCGGGAGAGCACTGGAGTGTGTACGCGAAGTTTGAGCATGGTGGCAAACCTCCTGAACGTCTGGAGCAGAGAAATGCTGGGTCCTGCGTCTTCATCTGGGAAAATGTTCACTTTGTTAAAATGTACGTCTTTTCTGATGGACATGGGGACACAGTTCTGGATTGCTTCCTTTACAAACTCTGATGACTATTGTGTTGAAGATGGTCATTTTCACCTTTTGAGCAGTGTTCAGGGTGCTTCTACCGATGTGATAGGACCATCTCTCCCTCATTGTTCACCCTCCTTTTTTCTAGCTGTTTCTATCCCTCTCTCGCCCCCTTCTCCCCTCTGCTTCCCCATCTGCCACTTCATTTCTCCCACTGACTCCCTCTCCTCTCTCTCCTTTCTTCTTCCTGTCGTATACCCACCCCCCACCTCCTTCTACTCCCTGTCGCTTATCTCACCCCTCCTTCCTCTTCAACCCCATTCCCTTTATCTCCCTGCCCCATCGCTTTGTACACGGGTGTGGTTATTTGTGCCACGCGACACAAGCTGTGGACTTGCCCAGGGTGCTTCCTGTTGGCGTTTTGCTGCTTGTTTGTGTTTTGAGCCCAGTTTCCACTGCAACTGTTGGGAGGCCTGAGCCCACCAGGCGGTGGTGGTTAGGATGTGGGAAATGCACTGATGACTTTGTTCGTATTGTCTTGCTGGTTCATTCTTGTTTAAATTATTTTACAGTGCAGAACATTACATTTAAAGAAAAACAGAATGGCCTCTCTGTGTTGAATCGTTCCATATTATGTACCTTCTCCAATGTGCTGTTGGCACCATGCCATTCACCAATGCAGCTTTTAACAGAAATGCTCCACCTCATTCCACCCTCAAGCTCCCTGGCCCTGAGTGCTCCTAAGGTTGAGACTTCCCCTGGGGAATTTGCTTAGCCCATTGATTGGAGGAGGCTTTCGCTTCAACATCTTTTCGACCATTGTCCTTCATACTTTTGCCACCTCTGTGATTACCTTGTCTCACCCCAAAGACCCCTTTGTCACATTGAGCTTGCTCTGTTAGAATACCTCTATAAACTGTCTCCAGGACTCTGCTCCTTGTACCTGTCCAGCAATGATCAAACTCTCACTTCCCCTCCATTCTCCCACCGCCCCAGATTCCACCAGTGAATGCTCATAGCTCCATCAGTTGCATTATTTTTCTCCTCCAAGTTGTAAGATTGTGGATTCAAACCCAACCTTGGAGACTTGCAGGCATTATCCAATGTAATGATCATTGATTGACCTGCGATGTTAACACTGTTTCCCTCCACAAACATTGCTGGCTGCCCTCGGGTTGGTCTGGCAGTTTTTCTTATTTTTGATTTGCAGCACCCGCTTTTGCGCGGCCAAGATTGAGTAGGTGCTGCAGTGTCAGAGGTGCCATCTTTGATATTTTAAAGAGAGGGTTGCATTCTGCCCTCGTAAGCAGGTGGGAAAGATACCATGGCCAGTGGCTGACCCTGGCACCTTGGGCTCAATATGTACCCATCAATCGACATCACTTCCAAAGTAATGCAATTGGATGTGAAAGGGGCTACAAAATGGAAGGTGGCTCATTGGTTAGCACTGCTGCCTCACAGTGCCAGGAACCTGGGTGCAATTCCATCCTCAGGTGACTGTGCAAACTCCACACACAAATCCTCCCCGTGTCTGTGTGTGTTTTCTGCCACAGACCAAAGATGTGCAGGCTAGGTGGATTGGCCATGCTAAGTTGGCCCATAGTGTTAAGGGATTTGCAGGCTAGGTGAGTTAACCATGGAAAATGGCAGGGTTAGGGTGGGGGTTTGGGTTACTGAGGGGTGCTGTTGGTAGGGTCAGTGTGGATTCCTTGGGCTGAATGGCCTACACTGATTCTATGGTATAAAATGGGAGGTTGGCTGAGCAGCTGAATTGGAGGTCACCTTGTGTATTTATGGGGATTAAGTTGGGTAAACATGTTATTGGGAAGTTATTGTGAGTGAAAGAGCTGAGTGCAGTCCAAAGTCTATACAGAGGACAGTGCAAACCCCTTTGGCATTGACCCTGACAGTTGTGGGCGGGGTCTGCAATGCGCTTGCACCCTACCGGTAGTGGGCGGGGTCAGCTTTGCGCCTGCGCCCTAAGGGCGGAGGTGTCCTCCTGGTGCCGCACCTGCGCCCTAGTGGTGGTGGGCGGGCGGGACCGGTGGAGCGCCTGCGCTCTGGTATGTAGTCGGGATGTCATGGAGAAGGGGAAAGACGGACGAAGTCCGTTACCGAGTGACGGAGCCGCGGCAACACCCGCACGGCTACACCGAGTACCGGGTCACCGTCACGGTAAGGGGAGACTGCAACCTACCAGCGGGGAAATAAGAGAGCCTCCATGACCCTTCACCCCGCCCTGACCCCTCACTTGGACATCTAACCCCGCCCTGACCCCTCACACCGTCCTGACACTGCACCCGACACTGCACCCAACCCTGACCCCTTACCTCGACCCCTAACCCTTCCCTGACCACTCAAACCAAACTGACTCCTCACCCTGACCCACAGTACTGAGGGAGTGGGCACTGTCGGAGGGTCAGTGCTGAGGGAGTGGGCACTGTCGGAGGGTCAGCGCCGAGGGAGTGGGCACTGTCGGAGGGTCAGCGCCGAGGGAGCGCCGCGCAGTCGGAGGGTCAGCGCCGAGGGAGCGCCGCGCAGTCGGAGGGTCAGCGCCGGGTGAGCGCCGCGCTGTCGCAGGGTCAGCGCCGAGGGAGCGCCGCGCTGTCGCAGGATCAGCGCCGAAGGAGCGCCGCGGTGTCGCAGGATCAGCGCCGAAGGAGCGCCGCGGTGTCGCAGGGTCAGCGCCGAGGGAGCGCCGCGCTGTCGCAGGATCAGTGCCGAAGGAGCGCTGCACTGTTGAAGTGCCAGTTCTCAAATGAGATAAATGATTGCTTTATTTTCGCATACGTCTAGGGAGACACAGTGAAACATTTTGTCGCCACAATCTGGCACCATTGTGAAGAATAAAAAGGAAGTAATTAGATAGAGTTCGCCTTCATTGGCCGGGGTCCCAAACACGGCTCCAGGACTTCTGTACGGTCCCTGATCTGGGCCTCCCACGGCCAGGAGTCTGCACTCTTGTCACCAGTTGCAGCTGCAGTTGATGACCTGCTGCTGCTGAAGGAATCTGCGCTCTGGGCCTACAGCAGCCAGGAGCCTTCGTTCTCCCATTGTTGATGCCCTGCCAATTCCAGGTGTCCAGGCATCGGGCCCTATGAGCCAGGAGTCACCACCAACACCGCTGTGGCCTTCCCGTGGTGTCGGGAAGGTGAAGAAAAGACAAAAATGAGAGGGAGAAGAAGAATGCAGCTAGACTGGAGCGGACAGGCTGATCCCGAGTGTTGCTGTCTGTGCCAGCACCGTCATTGTGATGTGTAATGATCGAAGATGTTTAACTGCCCATGGAAGGATGTGAATAATCCTTTGGCTGTGATTGAAGGAGAGCAGGATTGGGTGGGATGGCGAAGAATTCTCCGTAGTGTTCAGGCTCCGATACTCATCCCATAATGAACATCACTGAAAAACACGTGACCTGTGACTTTCATGACACCGTTCGGGGGAGCTTGCTGTGGGCTACTCAGCTGCTGCGTTTCCTCCATTCCAGTAGTGTCCATCCTGTCGTGAAAGCCTGCATTGACTGGGAAGTGCTGTTTTGGAATGTGGTGGCACAGCGACAGGCGATACGGAAATGCACCTCTTCGCTTTTGTTCCCAGAGTCTTGAGGGTAGTGTGTACGGGGGGCGCTTGATAGAGCTCTCGGTCCATCGGAAGTCCCTAATGCAGAGGTGTGCTATGACTGATGTACAGGAACCTTTAATGGCAGCGTGAAGGGGGATGTTTAGCAGGGGACGGTGATTCCTCACAGCTAGTGGGTTGGTATCTGCATTTGGGGATGCCTCAGCAAGTGTGTTTACTCCTACACTACACCTCTGTGACCTGTACTGTTTGTTCTTTCTACACCCGCTCCCAACTACAGATCTTTTCCAAGAAGACTGCAGACGTCAAAGAGGTAAGCACAATTGTGAGGATTCGAGTCTGGCCGCGTACAGGCTGGGGGGTGTGGGTTTTAGGAGTGGGGGGCAAGGCATGTTCAGCTCCTCAGACCCTGGTCTCTGTCACCAAGCCACATCCCTCAACCCACCTGCTGCTCGCAATCCACCGATCTGGGTCCACACCCAGGCCCTCCCCCACCTTTGACTTGAGGGAGAGGATTTCAGATCTCCCCAGAAGGGTTTAGCTGTCATTTTAAAGTCCTAATCCAACCCCCTCCGCAACCTCGTTCTGGCTTTCCCTCACCTCAACTCCCATCTTATTCTGTTCCCCCCCCCAACCACTACACGATATAGTTTCTTTCTGTCGACCCCTTTGAGCATCTCAAACCCTCGACTGAATCCATCCACCCATCTGCCCAATATAATTGCAAAGTGCTGGAACTAGTCAGAGAGAGAAGTGTTTTAATGAGTTGAGCCTTTTGATTTGATTTATTGTTGCCACATGCACCTAAGTACAGTGAAAAGTTCTGTTTTGCGTGCAGTACATGCACCTCATACCATACAAGGACACACAGATCATAGGGTGATTCAACAGAGTGAGGAGTACAGAGTTACCGTGCACAGGAGGTATACAAAAGCAAGACCAACATTAGATTTGAGATTTGACAGGTCCATTCAGCAGTCTCGTCACAACGGGGGAAAAAGCCTTTTGTCAGAGACTCTAGACTCTGCGACCTCTCCTTGTGGCTTAACCCTTTGATCCCTGGGACTCTCCCCCTCTGCACTGCACCCCCTCTACACTGCACCCCCCTCCCCAACCCCTGAGATTTCTAGCTCCATCCAGAAACACTCATGTTTGCAAAGATACTTTTTGCTTCTTTGATCCTGGGAGCTTCTGCACATTGTGTGAACAGTCAGAATCCCTCATTGAAAGAATTGCAGAGCCTCCTGTTCCAGCAAGAGAATAAAACTCCTTCCCTGCACCAGGTCTGTTTTGAATTGCACTTGTGCACTCAGAATCTGTGTACGTGTAAAATTCATTTTCCTGTTGTACGGTTTCACAACTCTTGTCCTCTACCACTTGCAGCTAACAGTCTACAAACGGTACAGTGACTTCAAAAAGCTTCACAGTGAGCTGTCCTACATCCACCGGAACTTGTTCAGGAAATCAGAAGAATTCCCTGCCTTCCCAAGGGCTCAGGTGTTTGGTAAGGTCCCACGACTGGTTAAACGTTTGCTTCCCACTCTCCGAAAGAGAGTCACACAGCATGGAAACAGACCCTTCGGTCCAACCATTCAACTCCGACCACATTCCCAAACGAAACTAGTCCCACCTGCCTGCACTTGGCCCATGTCCCTACAAACATTTATTCATGTACTTACCCAATATCTTTCAAATGTTGTAATTGTACCTGCATTCACTACTTCCTCTGGAAGTTCATTCCACACACAAACCACTTTCTGTGTGAAAAGAATTGCCCTTCATGTTCTTTTTTTAAATTTTTCTCCTCTCAAACAGTCGTAGAGATATACAGCACGGAAACAGACCCTTTTGTCCAACTCGTCCATGCCGACCAGATATCCTAAATTAATCTTGTTCCATTTGTCAGCATTTGGCCCATATCCCTCTAAACATAGAACATACAACAGTACAGGCCCTTCGGCCCACGATGTTGTGCCAACTTATCCTACTAAGATCAATCTACCCTGCATAACCTACATTTTACTATCTTCCATGTGCCTATCCAAGAGTTGCTTAAAAGTCTCTAAAGTATCTGACTCCACTACCACTGCCGGCAGTGCATTCCACACGCCCACCACTCTCTGTGTAAAGAACCTACCTCTGACATCTCCCCTATATCTTCCTCCAATCACCTTAAAATTATGCCCCCTCGTAATAGTCATTTCCACCCAGGGAAAATGTCTCTGACTGTCAACTCTATCTATGCCTCTCATCATCTTGTACACCTCTATCAAGTCACCTCTCATCTTTCTTCGCTCCAATGAGAAAAGCCCTACCTCCCTCAACCTTTCCTCATAAGACCTGCCCTCCAGTCCAGGCAGCATCCTGGTAAATCTCCTCTGCACCCTCTCTAAAGCTTCCACATCTTTCCTATAATGAGGTGACCAGAACTGAACACAATACTCCAAGTGTGGTCTAACCAGAGTTTTATAGAGCTGCAGCGTAACCTCACGGCTCTTAAACTAAATTCCCCTGCCAATGAAAGCCAACACACCATACACCTTCTTTATAACCCTATCAACTTGGGTAGCATCTTTGAGGGATCTATGGACGTGGACCCCAAGATCTCTCTGTTCCTCCACACTGCTGAGAATCCTTCCATTAACCCTGTATTCTGCATTCAAACTCGACCTTCCAAAATGAATCCCTTCACACTTTTCTGGGTTGAATTCCATCTGCCACTTCTTTGCCCAGCTCTGCATCCTGTCAATGTCCTGTTGCAACTACAACATCCCTGCATGCTGTCCACAGCTCCACCAACCTTCGTGTCATCGGCAAACTTACTAACCCATCCTTCCACTTCCTCATCCAAGTCATTTATAAAGATCCTTCCTATTTATATACCCATCCAGATGCCTTTTAAATGTTGCAATTGTACCAGTCTCCATAACTTCTTCTGGCAGCTCATTCCATACACGCATGAAAAAGTTGCCCTTGGGTTCCTTTTATATCTTACCCCTCTCACCATAAACCTATCCCCCTCTAGTTTTGGATTCCCCTACCCTGAGGAAAAGACCTCGGCTATCCACCCTGTCTCTGACCCTCATGATTTTATAAATCTCTATAAGGTCACCCCTCAGCCTCCGACGGTCCAAGGAAAACAGCCTTCCCAGCCTATTCAGCCTCTCCCTATAGCTCAACCAACCCCCTCCCTCCCCTCCCCAACCCAAGGCCAGCAACATCCTTTCAAATCTTTTCTGAACCTTTTCAAGTTTCACTATATCCTTCCTGTAGTAGGGAGACCAGAAATGAACGCAGTGTTCCAATAGTGGCCTAACCAATATCCTGTGTTGCCGCAACATGACCTCCCAACTCCTGTACACAATGCACTGACCAATAAAGGCAAGCATACCAAACGCTTTCCTCACTGTCCTGTCTGCCTGTGACTACACTTTCAAGGAATTATGAACCTGCACTCCAAGGTCTCTTTGTTCAGCAACACTCCCTAAGACTTTACCATGAAGTGTATAAGACCTGACCTGATTTGTGTTTCCAAAATACAGCACCTCACATTTATCTAAATTTAACTCCATCTGCCATTCCTCGGCTAATTGGCCCATCTGATCAAGATCCTGTTGTACTCTGAGGTAACTTTCTTCACTGTCCACTACGCCTCCAATTTTGGTGTCATCTGCAAACTTACTAACCATGCCTCCTATGTTCACATCCAAATCATTACAACATTAAAAATATGCCTCCTTGTCATAAAATCCTCTGCCCTGGGGAAAAGACACCTGCCATTCACCTTATCTACATCCGTCGTGATTTTATAAACCTCTATAAGGTCACCCCTCAACCTCCTACGCTCCAGGGAAATAAAGTCCCAGCCTTTCCAGCCTCTCTTTATAACTCCGTTCTCAGCAACATCCTGGTAAATCTCTTCTTAACCCACTCCAGTTTAATCATATCCTTCCTGGACACAGTACTCCGGAGGAGAGCTCTGGAATGCTTCAGCTCATACTTTATATTTTCCTGGGAGGGAGCAGGGATGAGTGATCCATAAGCAAAGATATAACCAACAGGAGGTGGGATCTCCACAAATATCCCCCATCATCAACAAAGAGGAGCCCAGCGTCTCTGTGCAAAAAAGCAGGCTGAACCGTTTGTATCCGCCTTCGGCCAGAAGTGTCGAGTGGATGATTTGTCTTGGCCTGGTCCAGTGGTTCCCACCTTCACAGGTGCCAGTCTTTGGCCAGTTCGCTTCACAAGAAACAGCTGGAGACACTGGATATAGCAAAGGCTATGGGGCCCTGAGAATATTCCGGCAATAGTACTGAAGGTTTGTGTTCCAGAATGTACTGCTCCCTGAGCCAAGCTCTTCCAGTACAGATACAACACTGGTATCTACCTGACAATATGGAAAATTGCCCAGGTATGTCCTGTACACAAACTGTACCCGGCCAGTTACTGTCCCATCAGTCTACTCTCGATCATCAGTAAAGTGATGGATGGCGTCATCAACTGTTCTCAAGTAGCTCCTGCTCAGCAATAACCTACTCAGTGACTCCCAGTTTGGGCTCCGCCAGGTCCACTCACCTCCTGACCTCATTACAGCTTTGATTCAAACGTGGACAAAAGAGCTGAATTCCAGAGGTGAGGTGAGAGTGACAGCCTTTGAATTCAAGCCTACATTTGACTGAGTGTGGTATCAAAGAGCCCTAGCCAAACTGGAATCAAGGGTCCCCTCCTCACTGGTTGGAGTCATATCTGGCACACAGGAAGATGGTTGTGGTTGTTGGGGGTTAGTCATGTCAGCTCGAGGGCATCTCTCCTCAGGGTAGATATTTTCTAATCAACCTGTTCAGAGATGTTATGACATACCTCTAGTGTGAGTGGGGTCTTGAACCCGGGCCTTTTGGCTCAGAGGTAGGCACACTACCATTGCACCACAAGAGCCCCCTCAGGGAGTGTCCTAGACCTAACCATCTTCAACTATGTCATTACTGACCTTTCAAAGAACAATACAGCACAATAACAGGACCTTCTGCCCTCCAAGCCTACACCAACAAGTTTTGCCCTTCCATACTAAAACTGTCTTCACTTACAGGATCCATATTGCTCTATTCCCTTCCTATTCCTGTATTCGTCCAGGTGCTTCTTGAATGCTGCTATTTTGTTTGCTCCCACCACCACCTCTGGCAGTGCATTTCAGGCACTCCCCACCTTTTCCTCCATCATAAGGTCAGAAATGCAATGTTCTCTGATGATTGCACAATGTTCAGCACCATTCGTGACTCCTCAGATAATGAAGCAGTCCATGTTCACATGCAGCAAGATCTGGACAGTATCCAGGTTTGCTCTGAGAAGTGGCAAATTACAGTTGTTTCACACAAGTGCCTGGCAAAGACTATCTCCTATAAGAGACAATCTAACCAACGCCCCTTGATATTCAATGGTGTTACCATCACTGAATCCCCTACTATCAACGTCCTGGGGGTTACCATTGACTAGAAACTCAACTGGACTCACCACATAAACACAGGAGCTACAAGAGCTGGTTTGAGGTTGGGTTAGGAATCCTGCGGTGAGTGACTCACCTCCTGATTCTCCCAAAGCCTGTCCCACCATCTGCAAGGGAACATTAAGGAATGTGACTTTCACTCTGTCGGTATGAGGAGGTTTCATTGCTTCTGAATGACCTGGCTTTTCGTTTTAAGGATCTGACTAACAACATTGCCTACTCACCTCCACTGCCCCCCAGTCACAGGAAATAGTTTCTGTCTGTTACTCCTACCGGATCACCCGGTGATGTTCATTGGGGTTCATAATCCCTACAATGTGGAAGCAGGCCGTTCAGCCCTTTGAGTCCACACCAACCCTCTGACGAGCATCCAACCCAGACTCCCCCTTCTGCCCTATCCATATCATCCTGCATTTCCCATGGCTAACCCACCTAGCCTGAGCATCCCTGGACACTACAGGTAATTTTCAATGACCAATCCACCCTAACCTGCACATCTTTGGACTGTGGGAGGAAACCGACCCGGCCCCGGGAGGACATGCAACTCCACACAGACAGACGCCCGAGGGTGGGATCGAACCCGATTCCATGGCGCTGTGAGGCAGCAATGCTAACCACCGTGCCACCCGACGTCGTACACACTCTCTCTCAAAGGTTGAGGGGGCTGTGGCTGGGATCGGTGTGGGCTGTCCTCTGATCCCCAGCTCAAGTCAGGAGCTGATCTCTCTCTCTGTGTGTTTGTATTGCCTGCCGCAGGGCGTTTCGACGAGGCTGTTATTGAAGAAAGACGCCGGTGTGCTGAGGAGATGCTGCAGTTCACTGTTAACATTCCGGCCCTGTGCAACAGCCTGCAGCTCAAGGACTTCTTCAAGGTGTGTGCCTGCCTGCTGTGCCCGTGCATGGTGCCTGCTTCACCCCCTTTTCCCCCAGCGCCAGGCAAGGTCCTCCCCTCTCCGCTCTCCCTTGTGTCCTATGCGAACAGCACCTTCATAGAAGAACCACCAAAGGCCTGTCGGGCAGAGTGAGAGAGCTGAGGCAGGGAAGAAGGGATGAGGCAGAGGCAGAGGCAGGGAGAGAGTGGGGCGGAGGAATGGGAGGAGGAGAGGCAATTTGTGGGGGAGGGGCAGAGGGTCTCGTGAAAGGGAGAGGTTGAGTGAGTAAAGGGGGTGAGGGAGGGGACAAAGCAACGTGGAGTGGTTGAGGTGAGTGAAAGGGGGTGAGGTAAGTTTGGAGGGGTGGGTTCGGGATGGGGAGAAATGAAGGATGGGGTGAGGTAAGGAAGGGGATATATCGAGAGGTGGGGGTGAGGCGAGGGAGAGGATAAATCGAGAGGAGTGAGGTGAAGGAGGGGATAAATTGCAGGTGAGTTGAGGGAGGGCATAAATTGGGGGGTAATGAAAAGTCAGGGAGGGGATAGGTTGAGGGTGGTGTGAGGTGAGGGCATAAATTTAGAGATGTGAGGTGAAGGAGAAGATAAATCGAGGGGGTGGTGAGGTACGTCAAAGGGGTTGGGGTAAGTTTGAGGGGATGTGGTTAGAAATGGTTGTGGGGTAAGGTTAAAGGGGATGGGGTAATGTTGAGGGGGATGAGGTGAGGGAAGGGGATGGAGTAAGGTTGAGGGGGATGAGGTGAGGGAAGGGGATGGCGTAAGGTTG